CACCCCACCACCACCACCACCACCACCACCACCACCACCACCACCACCACCACCACCACCATCATCATCATCATCATCATCATCATCATCATCATCATCATCATCATCAGCCTCAGCATCAGCATCATCATCATCATCATCATCGTCATCGTCATCATCCTCGTGATCATCATCGTCGTCGTCTTCAGCATCATCATAATCAGCAGCATCATCCTCATCGTCATCATCAGCAGCAGCATCATCAGCATCATCACCATCATAATCAGCATCATCATCAGCAGCAGCAGCATCATCAACATCATCATCACCACCACCAGCATCATCATCAGCATCATCATAAGCAACACATCCATCATCAGCATCATCATCATCAGCAGCATCATCAGCATCATCATCGTTATCATCATCATCAGCAGCATCATCATCGTCGTCGTCATCACCAGCAGCATCATCATCATCATCATCATCATCCTCATCCTCATCCTCATCCTCATCATCATCATCATCACCATCATCATCATCATGATTATCATCATCATCAGCAGCAGCATCATCAGCATCATCCTCCTCCTGCTCTTCCCCCTCCTCCCTTCCTCCTCCTCCGCCTGCGCCTCCTCCTCCTCCGCTCAAGCAACTTGGGCCAGCATCATGATCATCATCTTCAGCATCATCATCATCAGCAGCATCACCATCATCAGATTCATCATCATCATCATCATCATCATCCTCCTCATCCTCATCCTCATCCTCCTCGTCCTCCTCCTCGTCCTCCTCCTCCTCGTACCGCATCCTTTTCCTCTCCCTCCTCCTGCCCCCTACCCCTCCTCCTCCTCCTCCTCCTCCTCATGATCCTCCTCCTCCTCCACTCATTCCTCCTGCGCCTGCTCCGCCTCCTCCTCCTCCTCCTCTACCTCCTCCTCTTCCTCCTCCTCCTCAAGATCCTCCTCCTACCTCCTCCTCATCCTCATCCTCCTCCTCCTCATCCTCCTCCTGCTCCGCCTCCTCCTCCTCCGCATCCTCCTGTTTTCATCCTCCTCCTCCTCCTCCTCCTCCTCCTCCTTTCCTCATCCTCCTCCTCCTTCTCCTTCTCCTCCTCCTCCTACTCCTCCTGCTGCTCCTCCTCCTCCTCTTCCTCCTGCTCTTCCTCATCCTCCGACTCCTCCTTTTCCTCTTCCTCTTCCTCTTTTTCTTCCTCCGTTTCTTCCTGCTCCTCCTCCTCATCATCATCATCATCATCCTCCTCCTCTTCCTCCTCCTCCTCATCATCATCCTCCTCTTCATTGTCATTCTCAAACCTCTCTCTGCCTCATGCACCCCCTCCCCTTGCTCGCAATACCATCCTGCTCCCTGGTCCCGTTCAGCATCCCAGGCCCTCGCCCGCGCCCTCCCGTCCGAGTGCTCTCCAGGCACTCCTTGTTTCCGGACCAGTTCATTCGGGTCCCGCAGGAGGTCCGTCATGCGCGGGACGAAGCGCTCCACCAGGGACGTGTAGTGCACGCTGAGGTCCTGTAGCGGCATTAAGAGATCAGGCACCGGATACTTAGGAATTTCCACGGGGCCAATCTGGAGCCGTTTTCAAACGGCCGCAAGGCCCCAGGGAAGCCCAAAGCAAAAATGAATCTGCGTCAGGACCAATTTCCACTGGATCCGGTTCCGTCATGACGACTCTTGAAATCCCCACAGGACCTTCTGAGACCCACCAAGAAATACTTCCAGGAACCACAAATGGCGCCATTGCCGCCGCTGCAAGCAATGAGTCCGCGGTAGACGGCTCTACTTCTGTACCTGCCAAATTGCCTGCTGCACCTTGCGCAATTGCGCCGTAGCGGTGCGGCGACACGCACCTGAAAGCCGGCACACGCAGCATCCACCCTCGAAAGGTTTCGCGCGTGGTCCCAGGGAGGGCGGCAGCAGCCTGAGCAAGAAACACCCCAGGATTTCCACCAGGAATCCCCCAAGCGAGCTCGTCAGGACGAAGCAGCGCCCGAATGCTCTTCAACAAGGCCACAGGAAGGCCCGTAGGGGCGAATTCCACGGGACCTTTTCCATGGCAAAACAATTCCGTGTTTGTATGCTGTCGGCCTCTCGCGGGGATCATTACGAGGCGTTCGAGCCAAGGCCGTCCCATCAAAAATGGTCGCAGGTGTTATATGATAACGCTCAGGGCTGCGCAACATGGTCCAAGTTTCGAGGTTCGCCTCTGCAAAACAGCCCTGGCGCCCCGAATCGCGCGCCGTGGCCGCAACTGGGTGAAGGAGGGGGCACGACAGCAGGGATACCGAACCCCAACTCCTCGCAGCTGGCACAGACATCAACAGGATGAGCGGACAAAACATGATCATGATTGCGATCTCTACTGGCCTACGATGTATGTTGAAAATCGGCAACGCCAGTCCAGCTCCACAGCCAGGTTTGAGCTTGCTAAAAGGACTTGAGCCCAAACAAGTACAGGTGACCCATCTGCCTGCTGCGATCTCGCTCGGCTCTCGTGCACGCTATCCCTGGGCAAGAACAGTGGTGTCCTGAGAAATAAGCAATGGAGAGGTCACAGATGACGCCCCTCGACAACATGATCAGCGACCGAGTTTGTCGGGCAATGGCAAGGTCACACATAACGCCCCTCGAGAGACCCATCTCTGACTGTTTATTAACTCGGGTCGGGAACGTAGCGCTTTGCAGCATTCGCGGCTAGCCGGTCATGCGCAAGACTTGAACACTATCGACAGTACCTCGGAGAATAGCCATCACTTCGACCAGCCGAGCTCGATGAGTGCCTCTCAGTCGATCGAGCACTTCGTCACGCCATCTCCAACCGTGTCCGCAAGATCGTTCCAAGACAACCGCCGCAACTGTCTTTGTCCAGCAACTCACTGTCCTCGAGCGTGTGAACGCACAGGGTGACCTTTTACAGTCTCCGCATTCACCACGTCGGCAACCGCCTTGGCGCCCACGTAGCCGCCCGCATCAAACATGAACTCACAGCTCTCCTCGATATCCTTCCGAGTCGCTGTCCTCACACCTCAAATCGCTTCCGCGAAAGCCGTGTTCAGCAGCATGCCCGCACCAGCTGTGCACATTTAATGGACCGCCTGGGTCTACTTCTTGCTGCACGAGTCCAACAGCACAACCTTGTAGGCCTGGCCAGTCTCAAGCGCGTCGGCGTCAATCTCCACGAATATCAAGCAACACCCAAGCATAGCTCATGAATATCAAGCAACACCCACGCAAAGCTAGGCCGTCGAACGGCTTGGCCTGACACGCCGAATCTGACACCACTGCTAGTCTGCTCTTGAGCGGATCCGTCGCCACGAACCTCACGCCCAGGAGCCTGCTTCATATATTCCGGGGTAGCGGCTGTCATCGGCCCAGCCCCCCCCCCAAAAAAATGGCGTCACGTTCCGCGCTGGCGGCGTCCAGGAATGCCTAGGGAGGACCGAAGCCAAATAGGAGCAGCATGTCGGTGGCGATGTGCCCCACAACGCCTGTGTACACCGCAATGCTCGCGTGCATCACATCGCCATTGTACACCACAACGCCTGCGTACACCGGAACACCTGTGTACAAGGCAGCGCCTGTGTACACCACAGTTGTTGCGTGCACCACAGCGCCTGTGTACACCACAGCGAATGTGTACACCGCAGCAACCATGTGCAACACAGCGTCTGCGTACACCACAATGCTTGCGTGCACTGCGGCGCCAGTACACACCACTGCGCCTGCGTACTCCACAACATCCGTGTGCAACGCAGCGCCGGTGTACACCGCAGCGCCTGCGTGCACAGGACAGGTAGAAGAAGCATGTCGGTGAGGACCTGCTGCAGACAGCTACGCAGACACCACGCCAGGGAAACGTTGATAATGACATGCTATTCCCTCCTCCCTCCTCCTCCCTCCTCCCCCACCTCCTCCACCTCTTCCTCCTCCTCCCCCTCCGCCTCCCTCCTCCTCCACCTCCTCCTCTTCCTCTTCCTCCCCCTCCTCCTCCTCCTCCTCCTCCAATGTTTCCTCCTCCTCCTCCTCCTCTTCCTCCTCCTCCGATTTCCTCCTCCTCCTCCTCCTACTCCTCCTCCTCCTCTTCCCCCCTCCTTCCGTTTCCTCCTCCTCCGGCAGTTCTCCTCCTCTTTCGTTCCCTTTTCCTCCTCCTCTCCTCCTCATCCTCCTCCGCCTCCGTTTCCTCCTCCTCCTCCTCCTCCTCCTCCTCCTCCTCCTCCTCCTCCTCCTCCTCCATCCTCCTTCTCCTCCTCCTCACTTTCCTCCGCCGAATCCGGGCGGTGGCATCGTCTACCGGGCAGTCGCTCACCAGCTCGAATTCCACGAGCAGTGGCGGCACTCTGCCGTAGACTGACCGATCGGGGCTGAAGCCATCAACGCAAATCAAGCTGTTCTTGTTGACCAGCGAGCAGTCGGAGATGACGTTTTCAAGAAAGGCGATGCCCTCGTCGGCCAGCTACTCCTTGGCCCTGCGGGCCAACTTACGCGCCAGGTCGCGGCGCATTCCCACGAACTGCACGCGCGATCCTTTTTCCTTGGCCAGAATCTCGATAATCGGGCGGCCCAACCATTGAAGCGCCTCCTCGCCGCGAAGACCTGCATGTCGGAGATCGGCAACTCCACGGGGCTTCGGGGCCAAAAGCGCGGATCGCGATTCCCTGGGTGATGTCCACCGAGGTGCTCCTCATTATGATATGCTGCAGCACGGTCCACCGCGCTGCCTCGTCAACCAGATGCACCACCATGGGTTCGCCGATGCACAACGTGCCCCATTGCACCATCTCGTTGAAGCCCGTCGCCGAACTCAAAATAGCGAGACCCCCCGGGCCAGGCCGCGTCCAGGTCTGAGGCGGAGGCGCCAGCCTCGCGCGGCAACTCGGCTAATCGCCCCGACGGCGCGCGCCAGAACCGCGCGTGCAAGCGCCGAACGGAGCGCCGCTCGACCTGCCGGCGCGGCGAGCGCAGGAGCCGCAGGGCATGGCCTAAGTGCTGACCTGGGTGCCCGCCTCGACACCCTGGCCTCGCCACGCTGCCGGAGCTGCTCGCGCCTCCTCAGCGGCCGCGGGTTGCCCCCCCGCAGATGTCTGGGCATCGGCAGCCGGTAAACGAGGTCGAGAAAGCGATACCTCAGCGCCAGCATGGTCGGCTCGAGGAGCTCCAGGCGCCAGCGTTGCAGTGGGCCCCCCAGCGGCCGGCGGCTGACGAGGTCGAAGGTCTCGAGGTGCAGCCGCTCGTAGGACGCTCAGGTCGCGCTGCGCCATCATGTGCACGCGGCACCCCCCGCCGATCCACGCGCGCCCGGGGTCGGTCGCCGCTCTGCCTGCGCGGAACGCAAGGCACTTGAAGCCGACGGGCTCCATGTCTTTATGGTGGCAGCTCTCCTCTGTCGTGAAGAGGCGATTTGCTGGCCGATGCCCTTTGCGCCCCAGGCGCGCGGTGGGCCCCCGAGCCGGCGCGGCCGTGGGCTGGCCAGGAAAACGCCGCGACCGCCGCCGGGCGCGCGGCCGCCATCGCTAGCGGGGAACGCTGCCATGCTGGAGCTGCTAGGCGATCGCCGCGCCACCGGCAGCCGCGCAATGGCCGCGACCAGCCCCCTGCAGACGCCGATGGCCCACTCAGCGCGAATCTTCTGGTTCTCGGCGCGCCGCGCGCCCCGCTCGGGGCCGGGGCGCGCCCGGCCACCGCTGCCCAGCAGCGCGCGCAGGCGGCAACCCACCATCAAGCCAAAACTTTCGACAACCAGCGACGAGCTGATCAGCGGAGGCGAAGCACTCCGAAGCTGTCTTCACTAGAACCCCCGCGCGTCTGTCGACCTCGCCTGCCTCGCAGTGGTCGACCTGCGCAACCGCTGGGCCGCGCTCGTCGCACATCTGCCCCCGCTCGCCAAGCTCGCACAACTCGGAGCCGACCGGCTGCTCCAACGCAAATGTCGCACATATAAGATCTTGCTTCTTGGCGGTCCAGGCCGCGACCCTGGCCAGCTGCAGGGGCACCCGCCGGCTGCGAAGCCGGCCGCCGCGGTTGCTGTCAATGTTTTGCGCGGCGAACTAATGGGACCTGCGCGCGGGGCACCGATCAGCGGGGCGGTCGGCTGGCACCTGGCGGGGGTGCTGGCCCAACTCCCACCAGCCGACGCCCGTCGCGAGATCGCAGCCGCAAATAATATCGAAGTTGGGCCCGCCACGAAAACCACGCATGATCAAAGGCGCAGTGGCCTCACTCGCGCCACCGCGCAGCTCCGCCACGCCGCCGCGCTGCTCGCCGTCGAAGTCAGCCGACCTTGTCGGCGCTGGATAGGGGCTGTTCTGTAGGAGGAGTCGGCTTGCGGGGGGGGTCGGGCGCGCGGGAGGCGGGCGGAGGCGTCGCCGGCGCCCCGCGCCCCCGGGGGGCTCCATGTTGGATTTCCCAGGCTGCGCCAAGCGCGCGCACGCGTTACTTGCCAGCGCGCTCACATTCGCGCAAGCGCATCATAAGAAACTATGATTTGGATCGGAACCGGGCGACGCAGGGCACGG